AAGAGCTAATTGGATTTTTTTTTTTTTTTGGGCAACATCAAATGATTTTTGCAATAAGGAGGTGATTGATAGACCACCACTCATATTCATCTTATCGTCACGGACCACCTGTTGATTTCAGTAAAGTATTCATGTTGTGAACGTCAAAACACATGATTGGCGGCTGATTGACTTCAAGCTATTCATTGAGGAGAGGTGACGTCGACGAGTAGACGATTCAGGCGAGCCCCTATGAAAGGGCACTGAATTGTTGATTCGATGTTATTGATGTCTTGTTTCCTTGTCTGTGACGGGCTCGCATGATGCCTCACACAGTGACTGGTGAAGGAATAGCAGAAGGGATAGCTTGACTTCTTACACACCAATTAATTAGCTTGTCAATCACAAAGACTTGGGCAAAGACAATAGATCATTCATACTCACATTCAGACCCCTGGACAAGTTAGTATTCAATGGACCAAACATTTTGTAATTTTCGGTGTTAGTTGGGTCTCACAGCATGTTGGAAAGAGGCTGTTTAGATACCTTTTCTTTTCGATCCAGGAAATGTACCGGTATAAGTTAATTCACGGATTCCAGTTGGGTTTTGTATCCTGTTTGTGCAGGTCGGGTTGCGCTACGAGCGCATCGAAACAAGTTCTGGACTCAACCTGGATACTCAAGACATACAAATGTCACACAGAAATGCCTGCGTCAATCAATTCAAACTTGGAGACTTTTACTTTTGAGGCAGCCATAATAATCACTTCCTAACTGTGCTGCCACCTAAAAAAAAAAAAAACTCATGCGTTTGAAAATGTTGGTCATGTGCAATGTATTGATCCGGATATTTCACAGTATTTATGCTCATTACTTCACTGGGCTTGGCAAGATTGTTGTCACGGGCCATATATATTTTAAATGTAGTTTTGAGTGCATTGTGAAAGTTAATTAATTTAAGCACCGGTCTTAAATATTGCTTGAAGCTCACAGGAGACTAATTTCTGCAGGCTTCACGATATCATCTCTTTGCTGCTGGCCCACGGCGCCGATCCCACGCGGGGAGATGAGGACCAGTGGACGGGCATTCATTTCGCAGCGCAGAACGGTGATGACAGAGCCGTCCGCCTACTTTTGGACAACGGGGCGATGGCGGATCCCCGTGAAAAGTCTGGATGGATGCCCCTGCACTTGGCCTGCCAGAACGGCCACGAAACGGTCGTCCGCCTGCTGCTGACGCGCCTGTCCGTCAAGGCGATCGGAGAGCGGGAGGACGTGCAGAAGAGGACACCGCTTCACCTGGCTGCGGCTTACGGTCACATGAATATAACCAAACTGCTAATCTCCCAGGGAGCCGATCTCAACGCCACCGATATCTCCCTGTTCACTCCTCTTCACTTGTCCGCCGAGGCAGGGCATAATAGAATAGTACGGCAGCTAGTGAAGGATGGGGCCGTGGTTGACTGTGTGGACAAGAGAGGACACACTCCGCTTCACCTGGCGGCTCTCAATGGCCATAAAGGCATATGCAGACAGCTGCTGACGAACGGGGCCAGCGCGGATGTCAGGACCCACCAGGGCTGGACCGCCATGCACCTGGCCGTCATCAAGCGACACGAAACCACCATGGTGGAACTGAAACAACTGGGCGCAAGTGTCAACGCTCCTGGTGAGAACAATTGGAGTCCGCTGCACCTGGCCTGCCACCAGAGCGAGGCCGAAATGGTGGCCAAGCTTCTGGCCGCGCATGCCGACCCAAATGTGACTGAGGACAGTGAACGGTGGACGCCGTTACACGTCGCCTGCGCCAGTCTCAGTTTCCCCAGTGTCCTGCACTTGATTTCTCATCATGCAGATGTGAATGCTGCAAGCGCAGAGAAAGCTACGCCTTTGCACATTGCCGCACAGCACGGTCACACGCCCATTGTGAAGGCACTACTGCTCAACGGTGCAGACAGAACGCGACCAGACTCCTCTGGATCGACACCTGTCGACGTGGCAAAGAGGCACGGAAAATGTGAAATAGTCCAATTACTGCAGAATTGATTTCCTTTTATTTTTTTTATTCTCTCTTTTTTTTAACCTCTCTTATTCCATCCACTTAGTCATGCAATATTGGTCGATTTGTATGCCTTTAAATGCTGGAAGTGCAGCGTTATGTCTGCTTCCTCTATTCTTATTTTTAACTAGATGGATATTTATTGGAGTTGGCAGTTGGGCAGAATTAAGCTTAAGAGTGGACAAAAATGAAAGCTGCACCTGACATTTACAGTTACATTTTCATGATGCATAAAAGTGATGAACGACGGGTTAGCACTTCCGCCTCGAAGTGCAGAGCTCATGGATTTAATTCTGGGCTCCGGCCTTCTGTCTTGAAGTTTGCATGTTCTCCCCGTGCTTGCGCGGGTTTTCTCCGAGTACCTGTATTTTGCTTTCCTCCCACTTTCCAAAAACATGCTTGGTAGTTTAATTGATCACTTTAAAATTGTCCTTTGGAATGATTGTGAGTGTGGATGGTTGTTTCTCAATTTGTGCCCTGCGATTGGCCGGCAACCAGTTCAAGGCGTACCTCACTTATTGCCCGGAGTCAGCTGGGATAGGCTCCAGCACACCCAAGACCCTCTTGAAGATAAAACGCGTTCAGATATGAATGGGTAGGTAGTGCATTTTATATATATATATATATATATATATATATATATATATATATGTATATATATAATAATATAAATAAATCATTTTTCAATGCAAAGGAAAAGGAAGAGATCTACATCTCATATATATGTATATATATACATATATACATATATATATATATAAATCACTATATATTTGTAGTCTGAAGAAGGGACCCAACTGTCATTTACTAACTGTCTTACCACGATCCCCCGGATTCCTACTATATTTGGAAATTCAATATCATATTACTGTATCTGTTTGTGATGAACAATAAGATCCTATTCAAACACTGACAAAGCAGCAACCACTGTACTGCTCCATCAGACCGATTTAATGAAACATTATATGCCCAAAAAAATGTATTTTCAATAAAAAAATTAATTCAATCCAGGTTCGCGGTTATTTGTGCCACTTTCAATCTTTCTTCAGTAATTAATGAATTGAAGTGCACCGATGGACTGTGACAAGGTAAAAGTAGTGCTGCAAGATAATTACAATGATGAAGTCCATCGCCGCAGAGAAAAGCGCGTCGCCGCATGCGCGCGGGTCGCTTACCACAGTGACACCTTATTAAGTTGAAATGAAATGCATGACGTCTGGAGCTGGGTTGACCCACATGTTCCATTTTTTTTTTTCAATACTTAAGCATCCACTCGCGAGTCAGACTGAGCGATGAAGGCTTGTGAGCGAGAATTTCCAAATGAGTGACTGTTGTGTTGTGCTTAAATTCAGCATTCAATTGCACAATTACTTTGTGTGTGTGTTATTTTCCATAACTGCTTTACTTTGCTGAAACAATTCTCTGGAAAAAAAAAAATACTTCAGTTGAACACTGGCTTCCAATCAGCTTACTGCATATTCTTTTTTTCAGAGTCAACACCCATTTTTTTTGTGGAAAATGCAATCTGGTTGTATCTCATTGCTAAATTAAAGATTTGTTTTTTGGTTTAAAAAAAAACAATAAAAATATTTTTTATACAGTTGTAATGGTCATCAATTATACATGGAGTTTTTGCTATTTTTCACCTCATTCCCTGAAAATAGCGCGCGTATGCATACTGTACTTATTTTTCATCACAGGCCACAATGTAGTCATGCTTGCCCTCAGGGGGACCAGTTATAACAGAGTAATTACATAATGTTTATTACCTTCAGGTAAGAGCAAAAAAAATGTATCTTTTGTGTGTATGTAAACAGATTTAGTGCCATTTAAAATGAATAATAACATCTTAATCTCCTCTCTTAGGAATGTCGTTTGACTTTCGGCTTTCACCTTTTCCGCTTAGACCTTTGCAGTCAGGGCTCCTGAAATATATTAATGATCATCAGATTTACAGACTTTGACGAGGGATTTCCATATCTGCAATAGTTTTGCCACGAATGGCAAAAATGTCAGTAAACAAACTTCAAACCACAGAGTGGTTCTTACTAAGCTCAACGTACAACGCGTTCCTACTTAAATGTGTTGACTTATTCTCCCCGCAGCGATCCCTACACTCAAGAAATAAATCCCCCCCCTTCCTTTCTAATCCTTTTGGACAGCTAGCAAGGGGCACTTTCAAAAGCTGCCTCTGATTTAGATTAGCGACATGCTGATTTATGTTTTCATCATACAGGAAAATCAGTCGACCTTGAATTGGCCTTCATTCATCCACTGGACTTTGAGGTGTGTCCGTGCTGCAAGCTGAAATTTTATTGCCTGATTTATGGAAACAAGTTTCCCTTTGGTGACAGTTTGATAATGATAACACACTCGGTATCTTAAAAGGTAAATGTAAACCACGTTTTGATTGTTGTGCAGAGCAAAGTGTGTAAATTGACACACGCTTTCGGAATCCAAGCGGGCGGCGTCGGACGCGTATTATAACATTTTTCTACATCTACCTGCCAAACACACTTTCTGTGGACGTTGCTGTCATTCCAGGCACTCGGCAAATAAACTCTCTTTTGAAACAACCTTTAATCAGTTTCAATCAATGGTGCCGCTGCAACCTTTGAACAAATAGGGTGACACATTGCATCCCCTCTATTAGCTGCTAATTGAGTTAAGGCACCTCAGCTAATTTTATTTTGCAGCAAGGCGGCAGGCCGGAAGAAGATTCCTCTTCCAGATTGATGCACGCTTGCAGCAACACAAGCCGAACAATGTTATGTCTTTAAAATATTTGGTGGCGCGTCTCGCAATATGATGCAATAACTTCCTTCATGATCTGTGTCTAATGAGCAGTTTGACAAAGCTGCAGTAAGTTTGATTGATGATTGAGTAAAGAGATGCTTAATTGCTTTATGGAGTAGAATTTCAATGGCGAGCAGTTTTTTGACTTTGAATGTTTGCATTGAAAGAGTTTTACTTCATCCCTTTCGTCTCCTGTCTGCTTCTGTGTCCAGTTCTGCTCCTCGTGTAACAAAAAAGCTGTGAAAACACTGATAAACACTCAATATATATTTTCCACAGAAAACAGATAGTAAATGGGGAAAAAAAGAATCCTGTAAAAAAGATGTAAAATGTGCACATTTGTGGGAGCGGAACTGTGAACATGCAGTGGAGCCAGTGGAGGGATGCCAGAGTAGGTTATGTGCTCCCTCTTATGAGTACCAGTCAAGAGGTGAGCAGCAGCATTCTGGACCAACTGGAGACGCTTCATGGAGGATTGGCTGACTCCAAAGTAAAGTGTATTGCAGTAATCCAGCTGGGATGTGACGAAGGCATGAATTACGGTTTCAAAGTGCTCATGATAAAACTATTCAACGATAGCTTGACAAATCGATACTTACAAAACCAAAATCTATTGAGACAAAAAGCGACTATGAGCGAGAGCATGAGGTCTAGAAAATGGCATGAACAGCAATCAAGGTCAATAATCCGACAAGGGGAAACGGAAGTCAGAGTCCTGAAATACGTTGAAGCTTGATTGCATGACAAGACACAGGTGCAAGGCCGAAGGGTCACGCCCAACACTCCAACTGGTGCTGAAACAAAAACAAAAACAAGGCCGAGCAGAACATGACATCAAGAGCACGTACATCAGTATGTATTTTGTCAATATCTAAGATGGCATTTTTGTCATACATTTGGTCAGGAAGTACGTGGTCCAACGTGGCCCTCAGAAGCAGTGCTGAAAAATTATGGCCCACTCCAGCATTTTAGTTGCCTCGTCATTAGAGAGTTTTACAAACCTGAATTTTGCAGACTTTCACCCTCGCATCCTAAGGCACCGCTGTATTGAGAAACAATTCGATCAACTTATTTTACAGGGCCTTTGGGTTCGTTCTAATGTTTTAAATGGCTCTAAACTGATGTGTTTGAGGCCAGCTGATGTCATCTGTTGGGTTGCGTCTACACTCAGCTTTTCACAGCGGGACAGCCATAACATGTTCTGTGCAGAACCCCACTTCCTGTAACTACATCGTGGTGGGTGTGCTGTGTTCTGGTTGACCATCTCTCCCGGGGTGGTTATTGTCATCTCTTGGTGACCTCTTCCTTTGACAAAACAAAAAACAAAAACAAAAAAAAAAACACACACACACACAAGCAGTTTGCTCTCCCCAAGTGTCAAAGGCTCATGCTGACTGTTATCCTCTTGACAGATTCTCACAGGCGACCGTGAAAAGAGGTGTTTTAGCAAAGAAAGTCACACAAAGGACTCCAAGATGAACAACACACATACACACACACAGCGAGTTAAAAAGAAAATCCCTTCGAAGCTGAATTTATTCTCTGCGCTATTAAAGTGTAGCCTCTGAAGGGACTTGTAGTCTCCAGTATATTTTTACTATCCCTTCATGCAGATTTTTCTTGCTGTTGTCATGCTCCTCCGCAATGATTAATGGTGAATGCCGCCGCTATCGCACAAGCACAGAACACAGCCCCCAACACTTTCCACAATAGAGTATTTGCGTGCAATGTACTCACTATAGACAGGCACCACTTTTCCACAGAGATGCTCCAACCAGCACTGGACGCGGCCTTTTTAAGAAGCCTCCCAGTGTGAGTTCATATCATGCTCATTTGATCTACGCTGCCAACTATCATGTCTTACGTACAACTTTGATCATACTTGTAAAACTGTCATGAGAAAAAGCCTGCTTGAATTCGTAAAGAAAGAAAAAAATATTGACGATTAAAATTTGGACATGCATTTAGTGACTACCTGCTGAAAAATATGCATATGGTGGATATACAGGAATGTGTGTGCACGCATGTGCAATTCTCCTTAATAAACACTTGAATGAATGCATCATGCAAATGACTTATTATCATCATCATCAGGTGCAATTTGATGGCTTTTATCCGAGCAAACGTATCAATTAAGGATGCGTTTAACTTCTCAATAGTCACAAAATGTTCTCACCACTCAACATTTGCAATCAAAATCGAGTGTGTAGTATTTTTGCCGCAATAAAAAAAGTTCACAAAAGAATATTAATATTCTGCTTGGAGAAAAATATGAATATTACAACTGCACTTCATGTTTCAGTTTAACCCAGGGCAATGATTGCTTTTTGTGTATGTAGCGCTTGAATGCATTCGAATAAATAGTATTCAGGGAGTGTGTGTTTATCATGCATGAGAGCTGTAATGAATTGCCATTGTCACTTTTCACAGTTTTTTTTTTTTTTTGGTTGATAATTTATCAGAAACAAGGGAAAGGGGGGTTCCAAATGTGTGCAGAGAGTGCCTTCGAGATCACAGTATCAAAACATCCAAACACGTCCTTGCTGTAGGTTGCCAGCACGACCGAACCCACGGTGAATTAAAGCCCACTCAGATATGCATCTCTTTCATTTCCTCTCCACTCTCCTCCTTCCCCTCTGCGTTATATCCATCCACCCTC